AAGATGCGCGTTAAATATCGCATGCGATTTATCGTGCAGCCCTAACAGGTAGCTTGATATAAACATATCAACAGTTTATCTAACTTCAGTTTTGCCATTACTGTAGTTTACACACGTCTATAGCGATCCAACACTGAGAGTGCAACTTGGTCTGACACATTAATTAATGTAGCAATTAGGGATGCACCGATACCGATATTGGTATCGGTATCTGGCCCGATACTGAGCTCCTGTACTCCTACTTGTACTCGTTAAAATGCCTCATGCGATACCACACAGCATGTGATAAGTGCCATATTCAGACAAAGAAACACCGACAACAGAACAACAGACAGCAGAATGGAGTTAAGGGTGTCTACTACGAAGTATATGTATGCAAGGAATATAACGTTAAACTTTCAGTATTAACGCCTGTATAGCTGATGTGTGCGAGCTGATTAACAAAGCACGATGAGTGGATTGAGCGCGCGGCGGCGCAGATGCGCGAGCTTGTCGAGTGAATATGCCTTTCTCACAGACATCACTGGATAAGATCATTTATAGGGGCATTCACTATAAACATAAATTATTTTCAACCTTAGGCATACATGACTTTCTGTCGAGAGTGAATCTAGCAGCCTGTGTGAAATGCGCTATAGTCTGTACTATTCTGCATGAATACAAATACCTGCACGCGTTGCGCGTGTTTTGCTTGCTTGAGTGTTTCTGCATTATATGAGTGGCTTTGGAATATAAATCGCAGCACGTTTCAGATGAAAAAACGCGACTTCTATTTCTGAAAATATCACAGTTAGGAGATTTATAACGAGTGGTTCCCTGCATTATTACAGCAAAGCGCGTGATTACAGTACTTAGCCGCTGCAATGGAGCAGCTCTAATGCTATTAAATTAAAGATGATGTACCATAGAGCAAAAAATGAACAGTGAAAGTAACAAAAACTTGTAAAATACATTTTAATGGGCATAATTAAGTGTGAAAATAACCAAAGGATATACAGTCAAACCAAAAATTATTCAGAGACCAGATATCATTTTTTATATTTTTTTTTACTAGTGGGTGCAGGACACTATAGTTCATTTATGCAAGTGAGGACAGCAAAATAAAGTAAACTGTGACTAATCATACCCAAAAATTCTTCATACAGTGGACTACCAGCAAAACTAATACAAATTTGGGACTAAAAATTATTCAGTCCGAGTCTGGGAAAAAAAACTGAAGTTCAGGTTTTCATGAAGCTGGGTGACAGCATGCCCAGGAGACTACAGGCTGTCATTAAGGCTAAGGGTTGCCCGACTAAGTATTGATAGTTGTGTAAATACTGTCATACTAACAGCTGTCTGAATAATTTTTGGTTGATTGTAATCCATGACATGCCTTTCTATCAAAGTTATCTAGCATTATCAAGCTGAATTTATTCTGACACAGTTTAACTCTGAGTTCTTGTCATATTTTATTACCATTTTCTAAACTATAGCAAATAAACTGTGATAATGTGAGAAATGTTGAAGGTGTCTGAATACATTTTGGTTTGATTGTATCTATTTGATAAATGAAGTTAACCAACTAACATTATACATACTCTTTTGGTTTCTGTACCCAATATTTAAAAAATGTATAAATGCAATAAAAATATCGGTATCGGTACTCGGTATCGGCAAGTACCAAAAATAAAAGTATCGTATCGGGCGAGTACTGGAAAAAGTGGTATCGGTGCATCCCTAGTAGCGATGTATGAAATCAAACTACAACCTGAGTATAGAGCACTTCAGGCCTTTCCTTGAGGAAAGGACACATGTCCCAAACAAGAATGACAGATTCATCCCTATAATCAGAAGAGTTGGAAGCAGAAACAGGTTGCATTGCTGTGAAATGACAAAAACCTAACAAACACTCATATATGCATGCCAATGCAAACACACACACACGCACACAGCGTTCTGTCTTTCCTAATGAGAACTAGTTAGCTAAAGAAGGTCTGATAATATTATTTTTGGACTTATGCTTTGGTAATGCCATGATTCTTTGCCATTTATCGTGGTAATGTCATAATATCATGATTTGTTTACCATGGTAATGCCAAGCTTTCCTGTAGCTCAAGCAATAGATCAAGGCACCAGCACCGCCAACTTTATGAGTTTGATTCACAGGGAACGCATAAGCTGATAAAATGAATGCAATGTAAATCGCTTTTGGATGAACAGAACTATAGTGTTTAGGACATGATTGCATAATAATTCTTTCTTTCTTTCTTTCTTTACAATTTGCAAGGAAATAAAATGGAAATAAAACCGTAAGACCTTTTTAGTATATGATACCATGGTAACACCATGGTAGATCATATTGGCCTCATCCCCAAACCATCTTAATGATTACCAATAAATTATTTATAGTGATTATGCACAGGGGAAAAAAAGATGTTAAAAATGAAAGAAAATAAATAAATGTTTTTAATAGATTTTTTTTTTTTTCAGATTAGATTATAATGAACTTAATTGACATTGTGCACAATACAAGTCCAGAGCCAGTGAAATGTATAGTGCAAAACTGAATTCAATTAATACGTTTTAAAAACGTTAATATATATATATATACTGTATATTTTTTTTTTAAACATTGGATTATTGTGTTTTACATTTTAGACTGTTGGTTGTTATTTTTCTTAGGTTCTCTAGGTTATTCTTAGGAGCCTAACCAGGGACAAACAAACAAACTTTTTTTAAAATAGGGTTTTTAACTTTATTGTCATTTTGCAGAGTACAAGTACAGAGCCAATGAACTGTAATGCAAAAGTCAGAATTGAACTTTTGTTTTACATTTTAGACTATTTATTGGTTGTTATATTTCTTAAGTTCTTAGTAAAAGTCTAACCAAGGACAATAAAAAAAAACTGATTAATTATAACAGTTATTAACAGTTATTCTGTACTGTCCCTTTCAAATAAACAATAAACAAGTTAAAACATTTTTTTTTTAATTACACAAGATAGCTTTAAGAAACCAAATGTTCTAAACCATACTTTCTGTAAAGTGTTTGGTGTGTTTGAGATGATGGGGTTCTGCCTGACGCTGTTCATGAGCTCCACTCATCCGCTGCTAATCGGGAGCACATTTTTCATGGGACTGGTATGCGGCCCAGATGAGGGGGTCAGGAAACAGCTGGTGACGCAGCAGTGGCTCCGTCCGTCCCAACGAGAACCACTCGATTTCACTCCTGACAGTCCCATCACAGATATCGCTCATGTCTTACTCACGCGTGACTAATAACAGCGTGTTCTAGAAGAACAGCACAAAAACTCCTCATGACACAACAATGAGCTGCAGGAGAAAGGCATGAGTAACGGGACTTTCTGTACCAGCGCATTCGCATACGAGAGAAATGGAGATCAGCTGCTGAACATCTGTGTGACTTATAGACCTGACTGATCGCAATATATACAAAGTGCTGCTTCAGATAAGTGTCTGTGCCAGTGAACTACAGCCGCCTCTGACTAATTTCTTATTATATCTTACATCTTATTTCACTAATATAGTACTATATTGATTAAAAAAGAAAATTTATAAAATAAAAAATTTATATACTAAATATATTGTAGAAACGTAATTTTCTGTAAAGCTGCTTTGCAACGACTTGTATCGTGAAATGCGCTATACAAATAAACTTGAATTGAATTGAATGTTTGTGTACCGTTACACCCCTGATATCTGTGCATCTTTTAGAGCTTATTTGGGGACAAAGGCTTGTCATAGTGATCTAAACTCTGTGCCATTTGCTTTTACGCTTTTATCACAATGTTTGTAAGCAGCGAATGATAAAAATCACGAACATAAACAAATGGATTCTGGAATGCTGTCGGCCTTTAAATGCCGTTATACGACACACGACGACCGCTGAGAAAACACAGAGAGAGTTTCAATGACAGGAGAACCATTCAAACAAACCATCAGCACCGCATTACAACACACACGTCTCGCCAAACGAGAAAGCAAACACCTCTACAGTCTCCACCGTGTGTAAAGGTGTTCAAACACAGGCTGTAAATCACAGATTCGTTTGTTCTCGTTCAAATGCAACTCAAACAAACAGCAGAAATCGGTCCTTCCTAAACAAAAGCTCACAGAAAAGAGATACGGCATCTCTCAGATGAAATAAATCCCTCAAAACCTCTAATGGCTGTCTATCATCGCCAACATCTGGATGAAAACAAGCAACCTAGTGACAGAATGTGCAAGAACGATCTAAAAGATGGTGTAAGAGGGGTACAAATGAGGTGAAGTTCTCCAAACAAAGTTCTGTCTAAGATTGAAAGCATCTAACTTCTGGAAGAGTCACATTTCAGCTACTTTGTTTTTCACTGTTTCTCCTGGACGTCGTTCACCAAGAAACTAAGAAATTTAAAGCAGCATTTTTCCCAAAACCTCATGAAGTAAAACACTTACAGGAGAGCAGACAGAATCGAAAGCTTTGCAAATCGAATCCGATCCCGTCTCTTACCTTCAGCAGACGCCTGGACGTCAGAGCAAAAGCATGGCTAGGAAAAGCCTAACTTCTCGCTGTCTGCCTCTCCTCGTCTCTCTCTCTGTCTGAGATCTCTGTAGCGGTCGCTCATACAGCTGCTGGAGGGAGGGATGGAGCTAAAGCTCGGGTCTCCAGGGTCTCAGACGGAGAGAGGCGGAGAGGAGGTTGGGCAGCAGATCTGTTTATTTAGTCAAATGACCACAGCAGGGTTCACTCACGCAATAGTAAAACCAACATCCCTACAAAGGTACCACAGATTAAACCCACTGCAGTTGCATCCACATATAAACACAAAAAAAACATTATTTCTGCTAAGGGAGACTTATGCTAAAGTCTATAAAAGCCAATTTCCAGAACAAATAAAATAAAAAAAATATTAAAGGTAATTGCAACCTTTTATCTCACAAATTATCTAACTTTTTTCTTTTTCTTTTTTTTTGGCAGAGAATAAAAAGGTAAGAGCAACTTTTTATCCCACAATTCTGACTTTTTTTTTTCACCAGAATTGTTAGGCTAGTTTATATCTCGCAAATCTGAGTTTATGTCTTGCAGTTCTGTTTATATCTCATAATTCTGACTTTTTTCTCAGAGTTTACATCTTGCATTTCTGCCACAGAATAAATAAATTAATAAATAATAATAATAAATAAATAATTTTAATTAATTATATATAAAGAGGACTTTGGACCAATGGGCAACAGTCCAGTTCTTCTTCTCCTTAGCCCAGGTAAGACGCCTCTGACATTGTCTGTGGTTCAGGCAGGTGTGTATGTATAAAAAGTGTTCCCAGTCCCAAGTTCTGGGTCCGCTGTTGTACGTCTTCCTGTAAAGGTCTTCCTGTGTTCGTCTCCCTTGGTTCCAATAAAGTCCTGTTCAAAGCATTCTCCAGCGTCTCCTCGTCCCTCGCGTGTGTGACATCGTGACAAGTTGTAGTAATGTTGTCCTTTTATTAGTTTTTTATTATGTCAATATAGGTTTTTATTAAGTTTTAGTTTTATTTAATTTGAGTTATTTCAGTACTTCAACATACAAAATGGAAATGAAATAATATATATATTGAATGTATTTATTTATATATATGTACATGTATATGTGTGTGGCTGTACATACACATATGTAGTTGTTTTTTGGTGTTTGGCTTAGTGTTATGTTAGAATCATTATTATACTCATACCTTTTGTTCTTTTAATATTTTGAATTGTTTTTAGCTTTATTTTTTTGTTTTCATTTAAATGTTTAGTTTTGAAATGTTGTTGTATGCATTTGTCATTTTTATTTAATTTCTTTTATTTTCTTAAATGTGTATATATATAATATTTATAGAGTTTTAGCTTTTAGTTTTAATTACTTTTTCTTATTTGTAAGTCGCTTTGGATAAAAGCGTCTGCTAAATGACTAAAAGTAAAGTAAATATATATATAAATTTTCCTTGGCAGAAACAAGTTTATATAGATGTCTCCTGTTTCACCTGGTAATCTCACATGTGTCTCTTCTAGAGTTTCAGAGGAATCTCAACAATGTCTCAAACTGTGCTCAGATTTGCAATCTGTAAACAAAAGTCAACAGGAACTATTTTTTTTCTCATCAAATGATCTGAGCTGCTCTTCACATTCATTGTATCGTTCTATACTCTTACTGAATGATGACTTGTGACTCATTTTAGCAGAAACATCTATATTTTTACTTTATTTACTTAAATGAGTAAGTGAGAATACAATCAGTTTGGGATCAGTAAGATTTTTTTATGTTTTTGAAAGACGTCTCTTCTGCTCACCAAGCCTGCATTTATTTGATCAAAAATACAGTATAATATTACTACAAAATATTACTACAATTTAAAATAACTGTTCTCTATTTGAGTATATTTTAAAATGCAATTTATTGCTGTGATCAAAGCTGAATTTTCAGCATCATTACTCCAGTCTTCAGTGTCACACGATCCTTCAGAAATCATATGCTGATTTGCTGCTCAAGAAATTTCTGATTATTATTATCAATATTGAAAACAGTTGTGCTGCTTCATATTTTTCTGAAAACCATCTACATTTTATTTGTCAGGATTCTTTGATGAATGGAAAGTTCAAAAGAACAGCATTTTTTTTAAATAGAAATCTTTTTTTTACATTAGAAATGTCTTTACTGTGCCTTTTGTTCAATTTAATGCGTCCTTATCGACCCCAAACTTTTGAACGGCAGTTGCTGAGCTATGAAAGAGCAATGACAGTTTCCTGAAAACAAAAGCAGCCGTACCGTGTGGAGAACTCTTGAGAGCGAGGCTGAACGCAGCGGCGTCTGTCTTCCAGAGGTTCGCTAGACCTGAAGAAACACACAAAAACACGAGCCCAGCCAGAACTCCTCAGCAACAGTCGCCTGTTTCTATTTCGCTGAAAGCACGAGCCGCAGGGAAATGAGAAGGACTTTGGCAGCTCTCACAATGAAGCGCCCAGCTGAAGAGAAGAAAAGAAGGAGAAACAAAAAGAGGAGAGAAAGCTGTTTTCAGGGCAGAGAAGTGCTCGAGCCAAAGCGAAGAAATGCAAAATGCAATGAAATAAAGTGCGGTTTTGGTGAAGGGAAGGTGTGTCAATAGTGGCGTATAGTGCTGAGAGCTCACGCATACACATATACACAGAGTACGAGGGTCTGTTTTCAATCTTGGCTCTCTCTCTCTCTCTCTCTCCCAGGCAGCAAGAGGAGTAGCTTGCAAATTCATAACAACGTCCAAAAGCTGAGTACGACCTTTTCTCTTTATTACAGAGAGAGAGAGAGAGAGTTGTTGGCATTCGCCCTGTAATTGTGTGAGTGAACACAAAACGTCCTGATCAACAGAGACTCATTAGAGGCCTTGAACAGACACACAGGAGCTGAACGAAAAAAATGTGCAGGAATAAAAGGTTCTGTGCCAAAGAATTACAATGTTGGCTTGTCAAAGAGAGTTTGTTATTGTACTTTCCAGGGATTAGGTTTTTTTGTTTTGTTTTGTTTTGTTGCAGCATAGGCTTGTGAAATGCAAACTATGATTACTGTATGACATTTGTATTAAATGCAGCAGTCATTTTGTTGTTCTTTTATTGCTGCTACTAATGAGACCTACTTAAAATGAGAGGAAGTACTTAAAAATGGCTAAAAAAATCTTTACAATTTGTGTGACAAAGTTGACAGACAATAGATGCACAATTACATCATATGATGATTATGATAATGATAATAATAGTATAATAATAGTAGTAGTAGTAGTAATAAACTCACCAGAGTCTGTGTAGCATTGTTGAATCACAGCAGGTGAAATATGGACCAAGACCATCAGGATGTAGACTGACTGATATTGCCTAATTTAACAAGTGTTTTCATAAATATCTGACAATAATGTTCTTCACCACATGCATCTGTAAAACCTTATAAAAGAGCTACATAGTAGTTCAAAAAACTATATACATACATATATATATATATGGAAACGTGGAAAAGTTGCTCTAGCTCTTTAAATGCTCTCTAAACATCTGGTTTTCCTTTAAACTGTCAGTTTCCTGTGTTTCTCATCTTCACATCTGGAAGAAAATATCCAAGGTCACTCACTGTCCCAGTTCTTCTGTCTGACATCTCAAATCCAAATCAAGATTTATTCACGGCTGCTCAGTCCTGCAGGTGTTGGCCTATAGGCTATTGCTGGGTTTCCATCCAAAAAAATTTTGGGATTTCTTTTATTTGCACTTAAGAAATTAAATCATGAAAGTCAACGCTTGATATGCGCATAAACTGTCGACATTCGCGTAAACGCTGATGTGGATTTTCGACGATGTCGTGTTTCGATCATTTTCGCACATGGCACGTATAGACAGACGAACTGACAGCTTGACAGCTGTTTTATAATTAATCTAAGAAACTAGTGTTTAACCCACAGATGCTAGTCTTCGGTAGTTGAAGTGCGTTCGCGTTCATTACGTGAACTACTGCGCTCATCCTGCGCTTCAACTGGCTGACGTCAATTAATAACTCTAATTTGCTTCATTACAGCAAATACAACTCTCCCTAAAGCAAAGAAGTCATTCAGCTGTTCCACGACACGGAAATAATCCGAGCTCTCTCGTGTATTGTTGAATAGCCTACATTCTGAAACACTGCTTCACGAAGTTTCAGCAATTTTTTCGAATCTTTTAATTCGAAACGAATCTTTGGAGGGAGTATTGTGAATCGTTTGATTCAGATCAGCGCTTCGAATGATTACTGCTTCGAAGCGCGAATAGCGATTCTTTTTATTTTAATCGGGGCTTCGGAGCGCCTACCGTGAATCTTTTGGTTCAGGTCTGGGCTTCGGAGGGGTTATCGTGAATCTTTTGGTTCAGGGCTGGGCATCGGAGGGGTTATGGTGAACCTTTTTTCAGATCGGGGCTTCGGAGGGTTTATCGTGAATCTTTTGGTTCAGATCGGGGCATCGGAGGGTTTATCGTGAATCTTTTGGGATCTTTTCAGATCGGGGCTTCTTCCCATTAAACGCCACATGATCACAATCAGGTATTCCAATTAGCTGTGCAATAAGCTAATTAAGTAAATAAAATAATAATAAATAAGCAAGTATTGAAATATAGCCTACACTGGATTTTTTTAGGCCTATATACATGTAATTTATGGCTTAATGTAATGTAGCTTTGGTTTATTTCTGAAATAGGCTAGTTCAGCTGAAACTTCATTTTAAACTCTTCTCTCAGACAAATGCAAGTTCATTTTAGTTTTACATGCAGCATTAATTTCAAAGAAACAGATTGGAAATCCAGACATAGACATAGCTTAATTTGGTTGAGTGGCCAAGTCTGACTCGCAATAAATTGGAATAAAACTAATAAAAGTGAGTCATGTTTTTATTTAAAAAGTTTGTCATGCTCATAAATATTGTTTTGTTTCAGGAAGGAACAAACTGTTCAAATACACAAAGTAGGCTACTCTTATTAAATTCTGTCTGTTAGCTTATTTGCTGAATCAGAATAACAGTTTAATCAAAAATGTCAACACAATGCCGGATCGTCTGTGAAACGTTTGCTGCAGTTTTCCATCCATCTGTGAAGGGCCTGAAATATTCATCTGCATCGTTCAGCAAACATCCTCTAATTACAAACAATGTGAACGAGACTGTTATGAGATCAGTTTGATTAAACTCTCTGACCACACACAAGCCGAGAATGCAGATGGACCCAGATACGGTAACATTAGCTATTCATCCGTGTGTGTCTGACAGCAAGTCCCACAC